AAATTTGTCAGTCTTAATCCTGAAGCTGAATTTAAACAGCAAACACACTATTTCTACTAAAATTTTAAGTTCATTTGGAGTGACTTGAGGAAGATGATGGGGATAATAGAGTGCTTAAAGTGTTCTGAAAATCTGATCAGAATAATTTTTAAAATATAAAAAGCTGATTTGGACTGGGTTTGGTTAAGGATTAAAGAAAAATGTTTTGTGCTTTCTATCCAGGGATAGAGATATGCAGAGAAAATAGCTCCTTGAATGTTACTGTCGACCTTTTGGAAAATGTCCATTGGATAATAGGAACAGAAAAAACAAATATTTTGTTCATAGGTATTGTGCACCACTCAGATAAGTAAACATCCTTATGTTCATCATTAAACAGTTCACCTCCCCCAGAAAATTTCATCCTGAGGAATTCAGAATCAAGGTCATAATATGATGTCAAATTGCTGTCAAAAGGAAACTCACAGATTTAGCAGGAAACTGTCCCACTGGGGGACTCACCTCTAAGAGCCCTTTTGTCAAGAGAGTTTGACCTATCCCCAAATAATCTGAGTAATAGCTCTTTTAAGTAAACAAAAATGCCCTTGTGAGAGGTGCCATAAAAATATAGTTATGGAAATTTTATTGTCATTTCCCTGGCTCTAGCTATTAATAGCACATTTCTGAGATACTTCCTGTATGCAAAATCAAGATAGGAGCTTAAGGTCTCTACTTGAATTGCTGACTAGAATACAATATGTCATCCTAAGGTCACAGTTTGAAGTGCCTTGAATAAGCCACTTGGTGATTTTTATTTAAATAATGAGAACATGCCTATATTTATCAATTTTTAATTCAAAACTTTCTATGTCTTCTGCTGAACCATAATTGAAATGTTTTCCATTATTGAATGATGTTGAGAGTCCCATGTACACCATTCTAGTCTAATAGTATACACACATCTTAGTAGTACTTTTTTAAAAGCATGGTTTATATATAAAACTTTCCACTGTAGTACCTACCACACATAAGTAATTCTTTTTTTTAAGATTTATTTATTTATTTGAAAGTCAGAGTTACACAGAAAGAGGAGAGGCAGAGAGAGAGAGAGAGTCTTCTATCCGATGGTTCACTCCCCAGTTGGCTCAATGGCTGGAGCTGCACCTCTCCGAAGCCAGGAGCCAGAAGCTTCTTCCAGGTCTCCCACGTGGGTGCAGGGGCCCAAGGACTTGGACCATCTTCTACTGCTTTCCCAGGCCATAGCAGAGAGCTGGATTGGACGTGGAGCAGCCAGGTCTTGAACCGGCACCCACATAGGATGCTGGCACTTCAGGCCAGGGTATTAACCCGCTGCGCCACAGCACCAGCCCCACGTATAAGTAATTCTAACAATGCTAACAACATGCTTAAATAGATGAGAACTACATCACACACAAATAAAGTAAATCCCAGCTCATCTGCATTAACTATACAGGAAATTCCCCCTTAAGTTTGCCTATCTGTGCTCATAAAATAGGGTTTATCTTTATTGTTAAAATATTTCCAGGTCATAATTTCCTCTCCCTGGACTATTCTTTTTTGTTTCCTGAGTCATTCAATGGCTATGTTAAGAGTACCTACTGCCTAGTGTTACTGTAAGGCTTAGAGGGAGGGAGCACATAGTTCTTGTTCATGGCAGATGACCAGTTAATGGTAGCTGTTGCTGTCTCTGTTAGGGCATGCCTAGAACTGACCTGTCACAGCCAGCAGTGACAGGTTTGACTCTGGAGTGCTTGTACAGTAGCAGCTGAGGGCCACAGAGAACACTGTAGTAGGGCACTCTCAGAAGCCACACCCTGCAGGGGGATGGGATCATCAAGGAGGAGACAGGGAGGAGGAAGAAAGGAGAGGCTGGGGCAGAATCCCCGAAATGACAGGAGGGGAAACACAGGAATGAGAAAAACCAAATCAGTATCAAAAATGTAATTGAATCGGGTGCTGGGCAACTGAGAAAGGCATGACAAAGGACATTTTCCCTTAGCAGAATCAGAAACTAGGGAAAACTGTGAATTAGGGAGGGGGCAATGCTGCAAACTTCTCACCTGGGCACTTGGCAGGTTACCAAGCGCATTCACATAGTGAGGGAGACCCAGTTTATCCGTTTAATATCCTTTAGTCACACTTCCTAGCGATTTAGAAAAGCTGCAAACGCCACTGATCACATACATGTATAACCCTCACACTCAGACATCACTCCTGTGTGTTTATGGACTACTTAGTGGGAAGAGGAAGCATGTACCTGCCCGACTGCCAAACTGAGGCAAAGGACTCACAATCAATAGCTTTCTCACATTCTTACAGAGAGCCCAGAAGCATGAGGCTCCCTCTCCTAAACACTTCAGCACCGTCAGCACGGTCACTCATCACCGAGGCTGGAGCACCAGCAACCCCAAGGCTGACTGGCTGGCTCCCAGACCAGGGCCTCCAGGCAGTGCCACAGCCGTTAACACAGACTGCTGAGACTTACTTCCCCTGTGACCACAACTACTGACTCTTCAGGGGTTTCTAGGGGCAAGAAATAGCCTCCTCCCTGCCAAGCCCGCTTCATCTGGGGGAATTGAGCTCTTGGTCATCCAGGCATTTTAATGGACTCTATGAATCACTTTCAGCCAAGGAAGACCGTGAAAGAACCCAGGGTCCAGAGTCTGCTGATTGGCTCTTTCAACAAAGACAAATGGAGAACTAGTCTCTCTCAATAAAGCAGCCACAAAAGAGATCATTTCTACTAACTCCAGACTCTGCTGTTTCTGTCCCTGGAGGACCATGAGGGTAAAAGCTGCCATAAAGCACAATTCCTTGCAGACAGAAGAGAGTAGAAGAAACAAGGATGGATTGAATCACCCTGTGTCCTTCCAGAAGTCCCAGCCTGTCTCACAGCAGAGTAGAGCAGTGAGATGACCAGAGCCCTCATGTTTCACAAGCCACGTCAAAGTGACTGAGACACGACACAAATTAGGAACAAAGGATCTTAGCCCTAGAAGAGAAATTAAAGTTCATTCTTCTCCCTATTTCAAACTCTGTTATACATAGGAAATCTGAGGCTGAGCGAAGCAAAGGAAATCACCCAAGGTCAGGCTGTACAGGCAGCACTGGAACTGGAATTTGTGACTCTCTTCCTGGTCCAAAACTGGGTGCACCTTCTTGTCAGGTGGAGCAGAACTGGACAAGAAGCAGAAGCAAGCCGTATACAGCTAAGGATGCCAAACACAGAGCTTCCAGACATTGATGCTTCCACAAACATGATTGATACATAAACTAGGGGCCTGGATAACAACATGGCTTTCT